AACGCCGCGCCCGGACGAAACAATAAGCTTGGGCGAAAGGTATATTCATTTCACGCATCACTTCGGCAATGCATATAGTGGCACTGCGAGAAACACCAACACGGCAGTGTACCAGAGTAGCCTTGCCATTGCGCTTTCCTCGCTCTATGGTACAAGTTAGATCTCTCTCACTTTCCTTCAGCATTGGGATGGGGTTAGAATTGGCATTGGATAACATACCGATGAAGTCCAAACAGCGAGCAAATTCACTGGTCAGCGGGTCGATACCATTGTCCTGAACACCTTCAACAATGCAAATATTATCTTGACCCCACTCTTCCACGTCTTCCTCTCGCCACAAGGCAGTTTCCCCAACACTGAGGATTTGGCGAATACCCAGATCCTTCAGCAGATCAGGACTGTTGGCGTGAGCAAGGTTTCCCAAGTAAAGATAATCAAGAACTCTGCTGGGGAAAGAACCATCCAGGCCGCCGAGCCACTTAGGCTCATTCTTGACCAGATTGGTTATCTCCATCAGGGTTTTCCCAGTACACGCTGGAGATTCATGGAGCAGACGTGGAGCGATAGATGTAAGCAAGCATACATCTGCTGAGTATGCAAAAAAGTTTCGTCCCTTCTCAGTATGCAGCTTCAGCCAAGCTTCACCGATGGGTAGGCCAGTGCTATAGCTGAAGTAGGCAAGACCAAGCAGAGAAGACTCAGTGTAGCCATCGGCACAATGAATTAGAATTTTCCGAGGCTCATGCCGCATGAATTGCTCCTCAACTAGGCCTTCTTCATCTCCCCACATGAAGGAATCTCCCTCGGTATCAGGAGCGGATTTCATACCCGGCCTCGTCCCGTGCGAGAGGTGATAAATCCACTTGCAAGTCTCGAGAATGCCATCGGCTTCCGTATGAGACCAACTGGGAGCGAGAACGCTACCGGAGGATGGGAATTCATGGTACATCTGGGTGACAATTTCAGAGGGGCTCTCTGCAACCAGTTGTAACGCCTCGGGGTTGAGTTTTCCGGAATCACCACATTCGATGAGAATGTCAAATTCCTTCTCCTCAAGACTGTGCATCTCAGGGGAAGGACCCAAAAACACGTTGTGAGATATCTCCGAAGCCTTCGTCATGTTCCACATCTCTTGTCTCTCCTGCATCACAAAGTCGAGAATTTTGCCAGTAGACCTGCCTTCAGCATCGGTCACAACGATATCCCTGTGCTTCTCTTCAAACTCCGAGAAGGGACTGGTGCACACAAATGTGTGATACTCGGGTAAATCAAAAGTGGCATGTCTTTCTCGCCATTTCTTCTGCGCAAGAGTGAATTCCCAGGCAACATCCTCGGCCACTTCCAAATCCTCACCATAGACGATGATGTCCGATACCACTGCTAATTTGTTGGACTGAATCTGGAAGTTCCGAACAGAAAATCCTTCAGAGGGGTCTGATTCAATAAACTCTGGTTCTAAACCCTTACGAAGGATCTCGGATGGAGATAATGCGCCCTTGAGGCGAGCAGTATTCAAGTCCCCATCGGCTTTTACAATTGTGACGGCTCTCAGGCACGTTGGGGGCCTGCGACTGCTACGTCTGCGAGCATTGAAAAATGACAGCTGCAAATGGTTCTGCGGGTGTAAGCCGTGAAGCCAAGGGAACATTAAATCCGGGTCAGGAAGTGGCTGGCGGGATGCAACGTCCAAAGCCCTGGCGACATCGGCGGCAGAAATTTGGTAGAGCGAAGTGCCGCCAGCATCTAGCCGATCAAAGGTAGTCGGCGGATGAAGAACAGAGCTCTGTACATCTTGGTCAGAATCTTTGGGTGATTCTGGAGGTGTGTCGTTCTGAGAGGTAGCACCAGAGCCAGATGGACAAACGGGCAGATGCTTATTCGGGACGGGGATATGATACTGCGGGGTACCAGAGGTATCCAAGCTCTGGAGAGAATGAGGTGGTGTGATGGGAGTGTCAAGACCTGACACCGGTCGATGGGGAGGGATTGGTCTGGGGATAGCAATGGTCGCCATGCTTTTAGCCCGTAAGGCTGTCAGTTTACCCCGTCTATCGTGATAAGATAGGATAAATGCTCCGTAGTGATGCGGTGGATCGATATGGATAGCACAGGCGGGTCCGTTGTTAGTCTCTCGGTCGGTCTGGATGCGGAGCCTACAACAAGTAGAAGTATGAGGTCAGTATCACGGGTTGGTATGGCTGGCGGTCTGGTGGAAGCCATGAATACTCACTTGCTCACGCGGAGTCCAGTGAAATGATAGATGAGCCAGCAGAAGTGCCAGGCGCTGTATTTGAAAGAGAATAAAGTAGAAGCGAGGCCAAGCGAAGTAGAGCAAACAGGAGGGATGCAATGGGATTTTGGGGCCAGCTACGACCTGGGAAAGGAACAAGTACCTCAGGCACGCGGTTGGGGGAAGTATATGGGTGGATGGAGATTGGGAAGGAAGGGACGACAGACAGCAGCTATGTCAACAAGGGACAAGAATCTAGATGTCGGCGGCAGGGTGCAATCATGTAATCGTCGAGCGAGCGAAGCGACAGTCCACCCGATCGGCCGATTAGTAGACAGAGAGGAATTCAGTCACAGGTGGGAGGGGAAGGAAAAGTTCGAGAGATGGTGATGCCAGTCGAGCGACCGTATTGTATTGGAGGCTCGCGGGTGGCGCAATTTCAAAGCAAGGTGGAAGGAAGGAGAGGGGAGACGAAAGCGAGCAGAGCAGAGCAGAGCAAGGCAGGCAAATTGAATTATGATTAATCGGTTAACAAAACGAACACCCCAGGATGCTGCAGAGGCCGGTGTGGAGGGGGGATGGAGGAGCTGGAGGAAGCAACAGTTGAGGTTGGGCAGCAGGCGAAGAAGTGGTTTGGATTGTTATCGGCCTCAGTGTTGTGTTACTCCGCAATACTCTCGCACGCGCGCGGACACAGCTAACTAGGTACCTACCAGGTAATGCCCACACATACCTGGTCCGTCTCCCTTTGGACAGCACCATCCGATGCACCATTGGGAATCATGCCAGCCTATCCACCGGCGTTGATAAAGGCTCGGTGCATTGTGTGCTTGCTCGAGGAGGGGCAGCATGGCCAATGGACAATCAACAGATAGCGGCAAGGTTGGTCTGCAGGGTTGGCACGGATCATCCAGTGGTCAGTCTGGACAGGCTAGAGGCGGGGATGCGTCGACGGCGCGTCGTACGGGCCAATTGAAGCTGTCGCAGGGTCCGGAGTGGATGGGGCACTCAGGATTCGTGAGGGTGGTGCGATCTGCAGCCACCAAGACATCAAACCACTTTCTGACCATCGTCACCTTGTTGCGGCAACATCACCACAGCCTGACTGAGTGCTCGAGCCATCCCTCGAGAGCGACGCAGGCAGGTAGGTAAGCGGGCAATGCAGCTCTTCGCCTGTCTGCCTTGCCGCTCGTGCCTCTCTCCCGTGTCCATCTCGCATCTCGCATCGCTGATCCCGGTGAGATGCGCGCTGGCAACCATCCCTCTGTCTCGGGCTCAGGCTCTAGCTCGAACTCTGACCATCTCGGACGGAGCATTGGTCGTCTGTGTCTGGGGTGAAGTGACAGTGACTAGGAGCTTGGCCTAACAGCCACACATCACCAGCATCCACCTGGTGGGTACTCAATACATGAGCATGCACGGTGGTGGATGCCATCCTATGTACGCTGGCCCATGATCCGGCCATGGAGGATGCGAGTGGCTTCCAGCGCTCGCTTCCCTTTGCTGGGTACACATGCGGTTTTTGAGATCTAGCGTGGTCCAGTGCCTGGGCAACGCGCTGCACCCTAGGCAATCGCTCATGTGACGGCTTCAGTGGGCTGTTCTTAGCTAAGTATCTCGACAAAGCGATGGGTGGCCCCCATGGCGGCAGAGGCATTGGTGTGGCTCTTGGTAACCCCGAGAGGGAGAGCAAGCACACGACCGCGGCTGGGGAGTCGGATAAGCTTAGGTACATAGTTCACTGATGGCCTCAATGCATTGTTGTTATGTCTCAAATAATAATACTACCCTGCCCAAACGCATCGTATCTGTCGGCTAGCAGCAACAGCTCCTCCAAGTACATGTACATATTGGCCTGTGTGCATCGCATCATGCATCCGAAACCCACATCGGAAGCCATCTCTCCCCACCACTACCCACACGTCTGACATTGAGTGATCGTAGCTTCAATTCCACTGTATTTGTAGCACCCTGCAAACACAATTAAAACGCTTTCGCGTCAACAAACGGACCTCAAGCTTCCTACTCAATTCTACCGGTGGTTGAAGAGGATCGGGAACCGTCCAATCTGTCACGCAGATACTTGCCTTCCTTCATGTCTCACATCGGTGCTGATGTGTCATTTATCCATTCGCCCCTCAACGCCAACCATCCACCTGCCCACCCATGCAAACCTTACTGACCGGTCTGGGTACCTACCTAACTTATCTCTCCATCAATACTACGATCTTGTCATCGAGATGACAACAGAACGGAGGGAACTTGCAGCGCACCCTCTTATCACACGGCATAATTCCTCCTACAGTGGCGCACATCCTAGCACTTATTGTCCTTGTGCCGATCCTCGCGGACAATACATACACAACTGCGGAGTGACTTGTCAATGCAAACCAGAGCAAAAAGTGCCAATGAAGCCCAGTGCTGAGAGGTATGTAACATCTACCCTCCACCACTTGAACACTCGATCGAAAAAGGAAATCTTTGCAGAAAGGGACGGCTTTCTCCGAAGAGCAATCCTGGGGAATTTATTACGATGGGACAAGCGATCGCCGACAGCCGCAGGGCGACCGGCCGCTAAGGCTTAAACAAAAGGGTTGGATCGTGGAGGAATCCGCCTAGAACCATCGGCGTTATCTCTCCCGCATGTCGCTCACATTCCAGTGGATTGATTCACCCGTTCCGACCAATCGCCAAGACCAGGCCGATCTCACTGGTTCTTGAAATCAATATATATATATTGAAGACTGAGTCTTATTACATAAGCAAAAATGCTCGAATGGCCAAGCGGTTAAGGCGTGGGATTGCAGTTAAAGTGCAATCAATCCTAAGGTCCCTGGTTCGAGTCCGGGTTCGAGCTTTTCTTTTTTTATTTCCTAAATATTATAAAGACTTCTCTTTAATATAATAAATACACGTACACCTATATTTATTTTACTATCATTCTTTTAATCTTTTATATAGTAACTATCTTAAGGTAAAAAAAAAGTTACTTTCTTAATATAACAGAGAGTAAAAAGAAAATAAGAGCTCGAACCCGGACTCGAACCAGGGACCTTAGGATTGATTGCACTTTAACTGCAATCCCACGCCTTAACCGCTTGGCCATTCGAGCTGAATTAAATCACGAGCTTCATAATTTTACTTATAACCACTCGTAAGCGTAATTTCTCTCGTTGAGATGAACTGTGCTATTACCGTCCAGTGTGAGCGCAGCGTTATCAGATTTATGTTCCCATCTGTTAGGTAAAACACCCCTCTTTTCTTTTCTTTTTCTCTCCTTCACCCTCCGTTGCCTAATTGTCATGTCGCCCCTTCTTCCTTGTTCTATACACTGTTGCCTATGAATATCTGGAGACTAGAGGCTTAGAGAAGCACTTGAAGAAATTGCTTGGGGAAGGGCCGAATACATTTTAGCCACGCTGGCCTACGTGGCGGTCATACACGCCATCCATGCTCCTATCTAGGTATGTTGTGTCTACTGTAAAAGCAGTTTCCTTCCCGCGCTCCATTGTCGGGAGCTGCAGTGGGGAAATGCCAGGGCCGCCACCACTTCGGAAAGCCAACCTAACAGGATGACCCCAAGGGAACAGAATCAGAAGTGTCCAGTATTGACTAGAATTCCGAAAGTCGTCCAAGTTGGTCATCTCTATCCAGGGCTGCTGCCATCTGGTTTGGGATATGTTGAGGATTAGGTGAGATCGGTCTCAGATGTGACAATTGGTATTGACACCAACCTCAAAGCCTTCAGAACACCATCTACCCCGAAATTGTTATCCTAGTTCCCGATATAAGAAAGTGTTCAGGTAAACTCGTGGGAAAATCATTGAAGATTGATGTACCAGATTTAGATATATCCAAGTCCACGCAGCTTATTCAGGAATACGGTCCACGCGACAGTCTTATCGATGACTGTACGTCGCAAGTTAAGCCCGAGATCCTAAGACTACACGGGAAACCTTTACTACCAGGTACGTAAGTACCTGTTACAATGGATGGTTTGGAGATAATCTAACAATTGCAGTTACCTGGCCGCTTTACAAGAACAACGCAACCGAAACGCCACCTAGCCAGATATTGGCAGATATGTTATTGGAGTCACAAAGAGTCAGCTTACCCACATGCATCTCAGTCGAACACGCTGTATGTATTAGGAATTCAGCGTTTGACCCCATACACTATTTTGTCCTCGCTCGGGGGCAAGGGTATCAACAGGCTAATTTTTTACGACTTTGAAGTTTTTTTCCCAATGATCTCTCTAAGAAATTCGATCTCTTACAAAACATCCTGGAGATGCTGTTTTGTAGAGTTTCTCAATCTCTTCCTGACTCGGTATTGGTAGAATCCTTTAGCCCATGACTATACGGCAATCCTAGGTTAACTAATCGTCCTCTTCTACTCCATGGGAAGAATGTGGTGGCTGTTACTAAGGCAAAATATCGAGAGAATCATCGGAAAGCGGAACTTGATTAGAAGATTAAAATCCTTGCCGAGAAGAGATTACCAACCGCTCTTTCTGGCCTTTCTACGTGAGAACACTATAAATGATGGATTTGGGGAGGCCCGATCAGCGCCCTATGGCAGGAATTGATGTTAATTCCGAATTCAAGAAGCTTGAGCAGCAAATTATAATTCTAGGATCTACCCGGCCATTGGCTTCACCAGTCGGAAGCCTAAATGCAAGGATTGGCATTGCTTTGGATTCAGATTGCAGGGTCTTATACAAGTCAATGCCTGCAAAGCAGTCCTAAGGGCAAGCGAAGCTGCTTAGGGGAGTCAGCGTGAATAGGATCTAACTTACCTGCTCGAGGCAGCTCGAGGCAGCAGCTGTTGATCGCATTTATCGTCATCACGGCAAATAGGATCTGACTTACCTGCTTAAGGCTGCAGCTGCTGATCCTATTCGCGAGAGTTAGCGTGGATGGGATCAGACCTACCTGCTTGAGGCTGCTTAAGGCTGCGGCTGTTGATCGTATTTATCGTCATCGCGGCAAATAGGATCTGACTTATCTGCTTGAGACCGCTTGAGGCTGCAGCTGTTGATTGCATTCACCTGGATCGCGGTCAACGGGATCAAGGAAGGGTTTGACTTGCCTGCTCGAGGCTGCGGCTGTTGATCCTATTCACGAGAGTCAGTGTGGATGGGATCAGACCTACCTGTTTGAGACCGCTTGAGGCTATAGCTGTTGATTGTATTCGCCTGTATCACGGTCAGCAAGATCAAGGAAGGGTCTGACTTGCCTGCCTGTTGCTGCAGCTGTTGATCGCATTCATGAGGGTCGCGGCGGATAGGATCGAAATTACCTGCTTGAGGCTGTTCGAGGCTGTAGCTATTGATTGTATTCATAAGGGTGCAGGTAAATAAGATCAAAACATGAAGAGAAGAGATAACAACATACCTACGCGCGTACATAGCCAGCGATGGCAACTACGAAGTCACGATGTCACTCAGACCAATAGGCAGTCGATATTTCAAAATTGACCAATTGCCAGTCAGTATCGCGAATCATGTGACTGCAAAACGTCCCATTATAGAAACGAATCTAGAAGCTGCGCTCCGGCTATTGCCGTCACACATCATCAAGCTTCGCTTGATAATAATGAAGAAATCAACCCTTTCCAAGCTCTCGGATTGTGCGAGAAAAGATTCTCTAATTTGGACTACCTCCGTTGAAAACTCGGCTCTGGGACATCGAGATTCAAACCAGGCTCACCCTAACACTCCTGAATAAACGATTTAACGCTGGTTGGTTGTTCACAGCAATCTGCAGATAGTTGTGCTCTGTGGATGGAATTTGCAGGGCACTCTCACGTCAGGTTTCAAACCCTAACTAAAAGGGCCCTACAGCCTATCTATTCGAGGGTTCTGTGATCCTGTATGGTTGCTAAGATCAGGAGTACAACCCAAAATCTCCATAGCCAGCTCTGAACCATTGTTCACCTCATTTACCTGAATTTTTTCAAATGCAAGGCAGCTACAAAACATCTTTGGTCTTGAGTACTCTGACTAATGTTAAAAAGAAGTATACATTCTAGGAAAATGTTTGCTTCTATGCCAGTTTGGCTGCCCAGCATGAAAGAAGGCGGGCAGTCCAGCTTTAACAACTGCAACGCTGAGGCCTGTTTTCCGTGGTTGGCTCGCCACTCAAGGATTTATCAACGAAGCTGATATTTGAGAACTGGAGTCTGTTGCTGGTAACATGACAATATCACTTCAGCAATTGAGAACTATCCTAGCTAACCGAGCTCGTGGCCATATGGGCATCCATGGAACCAAATATCGCGGATATCGTAGAGAGTATACTACTAATATTTTAGAAAACGTGAGAAGAATCCTTGATCGCATTTATCAACATCCTGTCGACTCTATCGAAACTTTCCGAGATGTAATCGCAAAACCTGATATCTGTACTAGCTCAAGTCAAACCACGCACAGAAAGCATACTACAGATTGGAATATGCACCGTATTGCGACCGAGTTTGAAGGGGAACGGGTTAGCGACGCGATACTACTAGATTGTATCGATAATGGGCCAAACCAAGCGGCAACAAGCCCGCCCATGGTGGCTATGCTCAATCATGGGGAGGGGGTCCGGACAATGCGAAACGTTGCCCATCGCCTACGACGGCCCTAAATATAATACTTTTCCCGATGCCGAACCATTCGACAATCAATTACGGGGGCTAGCCAGAGATATTATTTTAAGAAATGCTGGTGACGATGAGTCAAGCCACGAAGAACTTTGCTCGGCACCGAATCCACAACCCGGAGTCGCATCAATGAAACAGGAGAAGAGTTGTGGGTGCGGAGAAAATCAACGCAAATCAAGCTCTCTCACATGGCTAATGAGTCCGGAACAGTTATCTAGCTACCTAATGTGTAGACAGGTCCGAAGCGAAGTATTCCAACTCAAACAACAAAAGCTATCGCTTTTACCTAAGGAATATACACGCACTCGTTCAATTGAGGCTACGGGTGAGCCAGGCCGAAAATATAGGGATCCGTCCAAGTTCGTGGTACGCTCTCAGTTATCAATCTCCGGGATAGTTTATCCTCATCGAGTGCTTGGCAATCTCCGCCAGTGTATCTCAAGTGACCCATGCATTCGACTTGCGCTTCAGTATCGACTCTTGGAGATTGTAGATGGCACAGGTCCTTCTCAAACATGGCAATGGGCTGCAGTGACAGGGCAAAATCTTCCAGATCGGAAGTTAGAGGGACGTATACTCAAGGCGAACACTCTTACGGAGTTCCTCCTAGGAAGAACCACAATTGATCTTCTTGAGCAACCCTAATACATATCAAGATGTGGAGGCGACGAGCAGATGAGGCAAGCCGATTGACGGTTAGCCAGGGAATGATGTTCAACTTTCCGGGAGAAAAGGGGGAAAGCCCATGCGGGTGACCTCTGTTCAGGGAGGAGGTGAATTGAGGGTACATCATCAAGTGTAAAACCGCATGTTGTCGTCCGCTCGAATGGCCAAGCGGTTAAGGCGTGGGATTGCAGCGAAATTGCAAATAATCCTAAGGTCCCTGGTTCGAGTCCGGGTTCGAGCTTTTTGCTGGTCCTTTGCCTTTTATCCCGTTTCTCAATCATTAAGCAATGTCTCGGAAGGGTCAGCTTGTTTAGTATATCTCTTATTTTCCAAAGATAACAACGGAAATACTTAGCTCGGGCGTAGACTAACTACCCTAGAGTCTAGGCGTTATATAGCAAATTCACAGGTAATGAACAGTTCCATGTTCGCTAGCTCCATGGCATCCAAATAAATGCCACGATCCAGCAAAAAGTAAATGAACTCCGGTACTGGGAATCGAACCCAGGGCTGCTCGGTGAGAGCGAGCGATGTTAGCCACTA